GCACATCGTCTGGTACTTACAACGGTGTATTTCTTCTATATATTCCCATCTTTTTGCTATTAGCGTGACGATTGCAATGATTTAAAGTGACACTCTAGTGATATATTCAGAAATATTTCTGAATTTTTTGATTTCTTAAATATTAATTTCCACAAATCACAGACATTGGTTTTAAAATTGACCGTTCCTCGATTAATTTTCGTAGATATTAAAATAAACAGAAATAAAAAAATAAAAAAACAATTTAATGGTAAAGTTAATAGTAAAATTTTTCTGATTACGAACGCAGAATGATGTAAATTCTTATACTAACTTTTTTTTAATTCATTTATTTTTTTCTTTGCAGGACGAAGATGGCAGGGATTATTTAATTTATTCCAATTGTAATTTTATTTAAAGTAATGTCGATATATGTAAACTCATTAATTTAAGCTAAATTCTTCAAATAAATTAAATATTATAAATACTTATATGTAAAAAAAAAAATAATTAGAAATCTTATTAATAAATATTTGGATATTCTAAAATGTTCGAATTGTTTAAAAATCCAAGAAACAAAATTCCAGTCCATGCTAATCATTTCTTTTAATTCTCTGCTAATTTAATTTTTATTTTGTTGCAACACTAAATTAATTATACACCTAAAATTAAATATATTAAAGAAATAAATATAAAATATTGCTCTTCTAATCAATTGTCAATTTTTTAACAATCGCTGCGGGCTGTAAGAAACTATATATAATAAACAACAATTCATATTTCGATACATTATTGCAATAATAACAAATTATCATGTCTATAACGATTCAAATGCCGCTGATATCGAAAGGAGAAAAAATAAATGCCTATAATATATTGTCAGGATAAAATATTCGAAACCATCATATGTCATCCATTGTTATTATATTTCATCCATGGTAAAGCGAATATGTGCTATCTATTTGGATTATCAGCGGGCTGTAGAAGCCTTTGGCTTCTTGATTTTGACTTTGGAATTTTTTCAATCACTATATATTACATGGATGATAAAATGTCGATTAATGATGAGAGATGTTCGAATAAATGACGAAGATGATGATGGTGATGAAGATAGATGCACGATACGTGATGAGCGGCACAGGCAGGGGTGTTGGCTGTTGCTGTAGTTGCTGATATTAGTGGTGTATTATAGAGTTTTTTTGCTGTTGTAATTGTTGTTTGTTTCGTTTTCTTTTTTGCTACTAGATGTTCTATACTGCCTCTACGTTCGCGGGTGTGTGTGCGTATGACAACATCGAGGTAACGAAGGGACCGATACTCCGAAATACCGTAAGTGGTACTCGAGTACTTATCTGGTATCCTGATGATGAATCTACGAGTGATCTTCGTCTTTCATATCGGACACCATCGATGCCCTTGTTCTGTAAAACGTCTTCTAAGGTTAATTATTTACTTATATTGCATTAAAAAAAGATTATTGAGAACTTACGAATACTTGCAGCTCGTAATAGTCGATGTCGGCGAGCTGTCATCATTCACAGCAATTGATTTCGGTAAATTGATCCTACTAAAGCGATCATCAAAGGAGTTACTATTATTATTATTATTATTATCGCTACTGTCATCACTGTCATCGGATATCTTGAATATTTTTTGAAATAAGTGTGATGTTGTTTCCCGCTTGAAGTCTAACTTGATACTCTTCTCATCCTGGAAAATATCAATAACGACGATTCTGTTTTTGTTGTTATATATACATATAAGAATAAAGATTTTTTTTAATTTCTTAAATTACCTCTTCCCTCAGTCTATCGAGTAATATTTTCTTATCGGCTTTTAGTTTCGCCGCTTGATCCGCTTGTGTTGGAGTTTGGATGCCTGAATGTTCCAATAAAGCTAAATGAGCATCCTTCTCGGAAAGGACAGCTTTTAAAACATCACGTCTGTAATATTAAAATAAATTATTAAAAGTATATTATATTTGTGTGTGTACACACACACACACACACACACACACACACACACACACACACACACACAAAACTGTTTTTTTTTATTTATATGTTGAAACACCCACTTAATTTGATGCAACTCTTGAAGTTGAACAGTCTTCTCCTGATTCGACTGGGCGAGTTTCCCTTCGGTCTTAAATACCTTATAAAGAAGTGGCTCGCACGTGATGCATTTCGTGGTTGAAGCAGCTTGCATTACTGCGATTTCCTTCTCTATCTCGGCAATCTGATAAAATAATAAGTAATTTTTTGAGAAACATTCCAATAACTGTATCACTTTTTTCAAGTAATTAATTAAAAATAAAAAAATAAATTATAGAGTCAACACAAATAATGGCAATACGTATTGGCAAGCACAGATATTCGAGCGATACAATATTCACAATGTATAATTATTCACAGATTTTCTGCAAATGTATTTTCTATTTTATTTATTGTTACTACTATATCATTAATTATTATATTATAAAATAAATAAATTTTATTAGAAATAATTGTATTATACTCTAATGTTATACTTATTTTAATATGAATCGAATAAATTATGACTAAAACAATATGTATAAAACAAGTTTAATATTATATATTATAAAGGTTTCCAACTTACTCTTTGATCGGCTTCTTTTCTAAGCTCCTTCTCATTCTTTAACTTCGCCTCAATCTCATCCGTAATTGCAATGCTCTGACGAAGAGCCGCGTCCAATTCTTCTAATTTATTCTCTTTATCCACGAGGTTCTTTTTCAATTGAAACTCTATCTCTTCCTTTTTCTTTAGGGTGGCGATGAGCTCTTCGATCGCGACATCAATTCTCTCACCGAGCGAAGTCTCTAAAGAATTGACCTCCATTTCTAGCTCCTGTACCCTCTCATTTTTTAGTCTAATTTCTTTCTTCAGCACATTAATGATTTCCGTTTCGTAAAATCCTTCTTCCATTTCGGCCATCTCTTTTTCCATTTTTAGAATCTTATTTTGCTGCTCGACAATTTGCTGTTCATATCTTTGAATTCTGTTATCTTTTTCCGAAATATCGTGTCCCATTTCCTTCATCTTTTGCTCTTTTCCTTGCAACTTTATTTTCAGGCTCTCTTCCTGTTCGTATTCTTGAATTTTATTAACTTCTTCCAAAACGGCGTGCATTACGTCCTTTATCTTTTGTTTTTTTTCTTCTAGTTCACAAGCTACTTCATTATTAGATAGAAAGTTCACCTTCGGCGTGTCTCTGACTAAAAACAAAATAAAAACAACGATATAGTTAAAAATTTTAAAACATAACAAATTTAGTGGAGATTTCACTTACCTGGTTTATTTTCTTCAAATTTTGACAATTTTCTCAATTCAGAAATTTGATTCTCTAGCTGAACAATTCTGCATTCTCGATCCTGCAACTTTCGTTTAAGGCCGTCAATGTCATGCTCTTTGACGTAATCCTCCAAATTCGTAACCATCTTCTCCAGCTCTATAATTCTCGCTTTATCAATTCCCGCATTCATGAGATTGTTCTTCTGAATCCACTTTTCCATTTTCATAATACATTGTTTATCGAGCGATATCTGATATCGCAGATCACGCATCTCTTTCACATCCTCCTTGAGGTAGTCCTCGAGTTCTCCTACGGCGTCTTCCAGTTCCACGATCCGTTTGGATTTCCTGTTGATCCTTTTCTCGAGATCGTGCATTTTTTGCGCGTCCACGTTTTTCCGTAGGAGATTTTCTAGCAACACTACTTTCTGCTTCAGCTCGATGATGTGCTGATTCTTTGCCTCGATCTCCTGCTTCCAAGACTCCTCCACTTTCACGTTCGTTTTCTCATCGCTGTTATCCTTTTCTGAAGATTTCGTTGTGCTCGTGTGATTCTTCAAAAAATTTTTTAAGGCTGTCACTTGCCGCTCCAGTGCAAGGATATGCCGATCCTTTGCGTTCGGATTACAATTTTCGCATGCCTTCGGTTGCGTTTCAATATCCTTGTTTGATATTTCGTCATGTCCATTAATGTCCTTTAGGCCCTCACAGCATTTCAATTGCTGCTCCAGCTGGACGATGTGTTGATTCATCGTCTCCGTCTCCTCCTTCCAAGATTCAATATGTTTCGCGTCACCCAACAGGTCCTTGCACTTATTGTGCTCCATCTGGAGATTCTCCATCGTTCTTTCCAGCTCGAATATGGCACGGTTCTTCGCCTCTAGTGCTTTTCGCCAAGAAGACTCGTCCTTGTTATCCTGAGACTAGCGTGCGGTATGCGTGCCGAAGCGACGTTTGTTGGCAAAATGGCAAAATGTACGGGATGGCGATAATGAAAACAAAGGCGGAAGCACACAGGAGGAAACAGATCAAGGTGAACGTATGTGTATGTATGTATGTGCAATTTTTATCTGTATACATGCATCGATCGATGCGAAGAACGCGAAAGTGCATCTTCAAGTGATGAGATATTATCTTTGATCTTCATTCTTCCCTCTATCTCAGTATATTTAAATAATCATTCGTTAAATTATCTCTTCGCGATACTTTGTTATCTCCTTCTTTTTCTTCGCGTCTGCCGTTCGCCGTCTGATTTTCCTTCGTCCTTTTTTTTTCTCTCGATTTAAACTTGTATTTATATTTATATTTACGTGTGTGCATACATATATACATCTACATACGTATATCTTCCGCGGCCGTGTGAGTTACAGTATGTATATACAGATGGATGCGCGTGTATTTGTATCTCTTGTGTGTACGCCGGTATGTTAGGTATGTATATTTATATATATTCATATATATATATGTGTGTATTTATATATATGTATATATATTCCGGATTTTTCTTAGTAATAATAATTAATTAACGTTATTGTTTCCGTTGTCATCTCTCGCGTCGTCGCATTAATATGTATTTATAAGTTATCCTCTGCATTAAATTTATATTTATATATTTATATTAATAATTTTATCTTCAATATTTATATATTCTCAATATTTATATTTATATATCAAGTTATTGTTGTGTTATTATCGTTATTATCCTTTCGCTATAATTATTAAATACGTTAACAATGGTCGCAGCATTTTACGTAAAATAATTATATGTCTCGACGTGGGTTTTGTCCATTGGCGGATCGACATCAATCCTTCGTTTAAGTTTCTCGTATATACGTCTATACTCGTAAAGTCTCGCTTATAATATGCAAATTGTACTAAAAAGAACGGAGAAGGCGTCCCCAACAAAAATCGACCTTAGAACAAGCTTTTTAGGAATCCGGCGGGTCCCGCCTATTAGCATCGTTTCGAGAAACAAATTTATAACATTTTTATTTCATTATGTTCGTTGTATTGTCAATGCAAAGCCAAAAGGAAATACGTACAGAGGAAAAGCGGCGATATGTGAAGCATATGTGAATGTCGTGTATATATCCAAAAGCAGCGTGAAAAATGTCAGAAGACAAGTAGTTAGTAGATTAATAATATGGAAGAAGAATATGTTAATATAAATTAATTAATTTATATTTTTCTTATTATCAATACTCCGCAAGTAAGTAAGATATACTGACCTCTTGCTGTGCAGTTGTAGCTTGTTTCAACTTGGCTTGTGCGGTTTTGAGTGCTCTGCGATGAAGAAATGAGAATTAGTAGTGAAATTACTTTAATTTGTTTCAAAGTATATAGATATGGAAAAAATATCAATAAATAGTTCATATGAATTTATTAATAAATTTGTTATTTTCTATAAAATTATTTTGTTATAACATGTTTTAAAAGATATCTACAAGCAATTTATTTCACGTCATGTTATGCTTATTTTTAATGAAGAATATCATATAAAATTGTATATAGTAACGAAGAACTACTGTTTTATATTTTTGCAATATAACATAATATAAAATGAATACACAGAATCGGTATTACAAGTTAAAAAGAATGTTGAATCGAAACATCTATAACTTGTTATATTATACTAACAAAATTTAATTACACGCGCGTTCACTTTGTAATTGGCTCTAATTCAGATGTATTTTCGTCATCGTTTGAGATACTCACTCTTGAAGATCTCTGATCTGTTTTTCCTTGGAGTTTTGCTCCTCCTGTGTCATCTGAACCAGCTGCAATAGCCTCTCGGTCTCGGCGGCACTCCTGCCTGATTCTTCTTTCGCTTTTTCCAAATCCCTCTCGGCAATTTCGAGAGCCTTTTGCATTTCTGCTAATCTCTTGTCCGGCGCTCCGCCACTCTATTAAATTGAATCGTATAAATTTAATGATAAAAACCATCTACGAATTCATTCATGTTTAACAAATATATTTAGTAAGATTATACAGTATTATTAATAAGAGAATTACTTATTTTTTTTAATAATAAAGTATTAATTTTTATTGAAAATGAAAATTAAGTAAGCTTAGTAAACAAACTTTCTCAAATCCGAAATTAAAACTTTTGATGTTAATCGTCACTTGACTTCCACTTTTCAATTAAATAAATTACAGTATAATATAGTCATTATAAATATTCGTAATAATTACATATACAACTAAAACTATAATATAGCTACAAAAAGAATGTTTTAATGTACAATATAATTACCTTTTGTAATTGTTGCTCCAGTTGATCCATTCTCGCCTTTCTCTTTTTGATGTCTTGGTCGAGATTTTGAAGCGTTCTCTCTTTTTCCTCTATCGTCCTAGCTTTCTGATCTACGGCCTTCGCTCGTTCTTCCGTCTGTCTTCTCTGCTCGTCCAATTGTCGTCTCTGATCCTCCATCTGTTTCCTCTCTTGAATAGTATCGGCGCCAGCTTTCGCGGCGCCAGCTTGGAGTTTCTTGTTCGCCTCGTGCAAATCCACCTGCATTTAGAAAGGAATCAATTGTAGCGCATCCTTCGTACTTTCATCGCATGCATGACTTATTAATTTTTTTTCTGGACTAGCCAGAAAATCAACTGCGAGACAAAGAGAGAAAGAGAAGCTGATGTGTGCCGTAAGAACTATGATAATGACCATTCCAAAATGCAAAACCGACGACTATCTACTTGCGCTTTGGCTTAATGTGTTCTGCCATAACCTGTTTGTATATAAACTTCAATATCCAAAGTGCAATTAGATCGTAAGGCTACACACTAACTCTCAGTATTCCCATTTTTACAAATAAAAATCGATCGATATTTTTATTTCTTCTATAACTGATTATAGATTGAGATTACTGCACGTAAAATAAATTTTGTGGGAAGATTGAGAGTTGCGTTCTGTCGACCAACTGGTCGACAAAATTGTGAATGCATGATAGATAAATAAAGTAATAACAATAATAATAATAACAATAATAATAACAATAATAATAAAACGAATCGAACGCGACACAGACACTCCTCCATATCTAGTGTGCCTTCCAACAAGCGACACAAATGACATGGTGTGACACAATGGATCGTTACATCCTTGTTGTTTGCCAATATTAAACAAAGATGACATGATCACTGTCGCACTGTGTCGCTTGTTGGAAGGCACGCCTAATTATTATATAATATATAGCGAGATATGTATATACATACAGAGAGATATATTAATTGTAATAAAAACGTGGAGAGTACAATATAAAACAACGTATATACCTACAATAAGAAATATATGTACGTGAGCAAACGCTCGAGATGTGCACCAATCAGAAAGAGGAGGATATCGTTTCTTTGAGAGTTCTCTCTGACATACTTCGATAGAGGTTTACATCCTTGCATGCTTTTTACACAGAAGATAATTTCAAGAAATCAGAGAAAGATATGAAGATATGAAGCAATACTTCCTCATCTTATTGATGCAGTGCATGCTTTCCAACATAAATTTTTTCACGATTACTTCTTGCTGCCACGTTTAATACGCGACATAAGCGCAGCTGTAATAGTAACATGACTAAATATAGTAATAATAATCGGGAGAGAGAGAGAGAGAGAGAGAGAGAGAGAGAGAAAGAGAGAGAAAGCGAGCGAACAAGCTATAATCAATCATTTTATTTTTTTATTGACTTATTTATCATTCCATCTCTAATGTCTGTGTCCAGACAATTGATCCTTTCATCTGTGTCTATTATCAGCTGTTCTATATATTTTTTGCGTTCGCTTTCTTTCATATAACAATAATAGTCACAGTGCCACTGGGCAACTAAAAATACAACAACGATAATAATAATTAATAATAATAATAATGCAGACAGTAATAATAATAATAACAATAACGATAAAAAACAACAGCGACAATATAATTATAACAATAAAAACTTTGAACATATTCTGATAGCAATGAGCGATAAATGATAGTGCTTGGAAATATTGTCTGGAAGAAAGGAATTAAGGAAGGAAAGATCGTCGTTGGAGTAATGATCTTCTGACGAAGGGACGTTTCACTGTGCTGCGGATATCTGCTTGCGCACGTGTATAATGTACTATAAGTGATATGTGCGCACGTGAATGGTGCAGCGTGTCTGGTTGGTCCCGAATCACGCATATTAACACACATATATATATGTATATATTTGTTCGTTACATATTTTTTTCTGGCGGCGTGTGACAGTCTATTGGACGCGTCTGTCTTCGAATCGAAGAAGAGAAGGAAGAAGAAGAAGAGACGAGATTTATCATTCTGTTTTTTCAACAATCGACTCGATTGCATATCAGGGGATATTTTTTTTTTATAGAATGCGGGCAGAGTGCGCAGGATAGTAGTGATAGTGATGGTGACAGTTGAGGTACTGATGGAGATAGTGATGGTGCTTATGGTGATGATTGGTGGTGTGAATGGCTGAATTGTGAACTGTCGTCAGCAGCGCGAGCGAGCACGGCGTGAGGCCGACACGTGCGTCGGAACTGCCGCCGCTGCGGCCGCTAACCTGATTCTTCTCCAGTTCCTGGCACAGCATCTCGAGCTGTGCCTGGAACCGCTCGCGTTCCACTGTCGCCTGTTGAATCTCCTCGCGCGCGCGATCCAGCTCCTTTCTCAGCCTGGCGATCTCCTGGCCGTTCTGTTGTGCGGGCTGCTGTTGCTGTTGCTGCTGCAGCTGTTGTTGCTGTTGTTGCATGGTGACCTGCATCTGTTGTATCTGCTGTTGATGCGCGTGCAACTGTCGTTCCGTCGTCTGTATCCGCTTCTGCAAATCACCGGCCTCACGCTCGGCAGTGTCCGCCCGCTGCCGCTCCGTCTCGCATAACTTCCTCCACTGCTCAAGCTGAGCCGCGTCAGCCTGAACCGTCTCGGTGCCGCGCGACGCCAGCTGCTTCTGCAGCTCCTGCACTCGCTTCTCTGCCTGTTCGGCTCGCTGTCGCTCCTTCTGCTGCGCCTGCTGCACACTCTGTACCTGCTGCTGCAGCCGTTGTACTTCGCGCATTTGCGCGTCAAGCGTCTCCTTGGCGGCGCGATCGGGTGTCTGCGCGTGGGCACGCTGTTGGAGACGGCGGGCCTCTTCGCGCTGACGCTCGAGCTCGGCCTCGTTCGCGCTAAGCTCCTGCTGGAAATTGACCAGCATTTCCTGCGACTTCTCCAGTTGTATAACCAGTTGATCGCGCTCTACCTGCAGCTGCTTCGCATCCACTTCCCACTTCTCTTTCATCTTTTCCGAGTGTTTCTCCCGGTTCTCCAAGATTGCTGCCATCTTGTCGCGTTCACGTTGCGCCAGCTGCAGCTCGTACTGCATTCGGGCATGTTCCTCGTTACCAGCGAGTTGCTGCTGTTGCTGTTGCTGCTGTTGTTGTTGTTGCACGCGGCGCAACTCCTGGCGCAGTGCATCACGTTCGTCCCGTAGCAGTTGCACATCAGCGGCGAGACGTTCAAGCTCCTTCTTACTAGCATCGGTAGCTTCCTGATATTTAGCAGTTTGCAGATGCGTTTTTTCGAGCTCTTTCGCGAGTCTGCCAGCCTCAAGTTCGACCTGATCACGCGCCACGATCGCCTTGTCCAGGCTGGCTCGTAAACGTTCTACTTCAATACTCGCGCTCTCGGATCTCGTCTTACCCTCGGTCTGCATCAGCCGCTCCAACCGCACAATCTCGACACGTAGTTTCTCGTTATCTGCCTCGAGCGCATCAGATCGTATCTTCACCTTGTCGTGTCGGTCGCGTATCTTCTCGGCTTCGATTCGCGCACGCTCGATCTCCGAACGATTGCGTTCCTGCTGCGCAGTAGCCTTGCCGGTCTCATCGCGCGCCCGCTCGAGCTGAAGCTGCGCCTCATGCAGCTTCGCCTCGAGCTCGGCGTGGTTCGACTGCGTCCTCTTCAGCTCAGCCTCACGGCCTTCCAATCGCTCGCGTAGTTTTTCCACCTCCTGTTGTAGCCTACTACCCTCGCTTTGCCACTTTTCTTGCTCGTACTGGTATTTACCTCGCACGCCTTCCGCACGCTCCAGATCGGCGCGCAGCCTCGAGGCGTCCTGCTCAGCCTTCCGCGCACGTTCGAGTTCCGCCAGCGCCTTCTCCAAACGGTCGCGTAGCCGCTCCACCTCCAGCTTCGCCCACTCGTGCTCCTCCTTCTGTCGCTCCTGGCTCTCCTGGTACTTGCCGAAACGTGTTGCATACCTCTCGACCTCCTCGCGCGCGTTCTCCGCCTCGGAACGCAGTCGTTCCGCCTCGCCCTGCGCCTTCCTCACCTCCGTCTGCTGACGATCGTGCTTCTCGTACATCTTCTCAATCTCAAGTTGCATACGCGCAAGCTCCTCCTGCGTCTTCTCCGTCGCTGCCTGCGCCTTGTTAAGCTGGGAGTGCGCGCGCTCCAGCTCGAAGCTGATGCGCTCGTTGTCGGCCACCAACTTCTCACGCTCGTTTTGCAATCGTCGCAGCTCGATCTGCGACTTCTCGTAGCGCTCACGCACCATTTCGAGATCTACACTCAACCGATCGATGTTCTCCTTTGACTTCTCCTCGTGCTCTTTCGTACGACCGAGTTGCAGCGCCGCGCGATCGTACATTTCCTGCACTCGAGCCAGTTCCTCCTGGGCCTTACGCGATTCCTCACGTGACTTGGTCGCCAACATCTGCTGCTTCTCCGTCTCCAGCTCGAGTCGATCCTTGTCCGCCTCCATAACATCGATGCGATTCTGAAGCCGATACACCTCGCTCTGCGACCTGTCATATGGTCATAAAATATTTAGTCTCTGTTCTCTTTAACTATAATTTGTCTACATAAATAATTGGCGAAAATTTCATCGATAATGCTTGAAGTTGAAATTGTTTTAAATATCTTTAAGATTTTTTGTATTGTAATATTGTTATAAATCAGTTATTGAGTCATATAATGTTATACTCGAAACAATTAAATTTTTGCAATTTAAATATCTAGCCAGTATTACCTATCGTATTTTTCCAACATCTTTTCGAATTCTTTGGTAGTGTTTTCTCGCTCCTCGTGAGCTTTGTTCATAGAATACTGTGCCTTCTCCAGTTTCTCCTTTAGGATTTGGATTTCAGTCAGCGCATCATCTCGCTCCAACTGTTTTATCGCAATAGAAAAAGAACCAGAAAGAGAATTTCAGTTTTCTAATAATGTAACTTTTATGCAGAATAACATCATTGGCTAATAAAATGGAATCATTCATATATCAAAATTATTTAAAATAGTTTATAAGGATTAAGAGGTGATATCATTTATTACTAAGCCACTAAGGAGCTAATTCAACTCACCGTTAATTTCTGATGAGTATTATGCGCCTTCTCCCATCTCTCCTTTACCAAGTCGAGTTCTGAGAGTACATTTTCCTTCTCGCGTTGCATCTTGGCTATCTGATTTTGCTGGAATTCTATCCTCTCGTGCATCTTCTCCATCTCTTCCTGGAAGCTATCTCGTTCCTTCTGTAGTCGTTGCATTATAACCTGACAAACAATTATAACGGAGTTATCGAATTATTAAATTTAAATCTCGATTAATCTTTTAGCTAATTGCGCTCACCTGAGCTTTTTCGTACTTGTCCTGTAGTCGATCCACATCAAGCTGAATCGCTTCCCGCTCTTTCTGCATTCTCGTTGACTGTCCTAATGCTTTATCAAGCTGGCTCTGCAGATTCTCGAAATCGTAGTTCTGTTTTTCTCTTTCCATTTGCATCTATACAATTATTATATAGCGTATGTTAACTGTACTTTAATAAATCATACACATAATATATACATAACAATAACATATACATAAATTATTAAGAGCAGTAACAAAGGATTAAAATTAATGTCATTTATATATACTATATATATATATATAATATATATTTGACACAAACGTTAAAATTAATTAAATATTTCCAAACTAAAATATATACGTTTCAAGCTGATAGAAATATTTATAACGATAAATTGTCTGTTCATACAATACTTCTGATTCTTTCGAGTTTACTTACTCTGCGAACTTCCGTCTGCGTCTTATCGAGCTTTTCCTGCAGCTTGTCGACCTCACTTTGCGTCATCTTGCGATTTTTCGAGTTCGCCGATTGCCTTATCCCTCTCGGAGTGAAGACGGGCCACGGATGCCTGTGCTCGATCGTACTCCTCTCGCAGGCTCTCCTGTTCGCCTTGAGCATTCTCGAGTCTCGCTTTGAGCCTGTACACTTCGCCTTGACTTTTCTCCACCTTAAGAAGAAAAAGATTTTTCTCTGATGCCTTATAAATCTAATTAACTCCGAATTACATGTAAACATAACGTTTTTATGCAGTTTAATTGAACAAACTGCAATTACTATTTTTTTTTAATATTACGAATTCCGCTGTTTCTTTAAGAATCCTCAAAAATATTATGAGTGCAATAATAATCGCATGAGTAAAAACTGCAATTTTATAATGCTGTCAGTTATAAATATTATTGTAGGAATAATGAAAGTTTATGCATACTTCCAACATCGTGGAGAAATGCTTCTTTCATAAGTACGCTCTTTGCAAAGTAAACCTCTCAATTAAGGATTGTAACACAAGACCGAACGTAAACGCGATTTTCCGCGCTAGAAAGATTTATTCGTTTTCATGGTCTTTTATCTTCCGTCATTAACTTGTCTCCGCGTGGAGCAAATGATGAGCAGGGCAAATGCGAACTTAAGCACACAGTTTAGCCGTGCTCCTTCAGAATCGAGCGATATGGTAATGTACGCGAGTAATTTTCCAGTCACTTAGGTGGCGGGATCGTTACTTCGCTGCCAGTTGCAGACACCGGGTGCAAGTTGAAAGCGTGATTGGAAATTGGATCCTATTGCGTGGACAAAGATATAGGCAAAGATGTAGGCGACAGTGGAAAAACGAGAGTAGGAACGAAGGAGAAGAAGATCGAGAAAAAGTAGGACAAAGATGAGAAAGAGTCTTTCAGGTAAATGTTAAGAACTCTTTTGAATTGACCGCGATTGAAATCATTTGTTTGCGAAGATACGTGACCGATTCAAACACGACCCTCAGAAAGTGCTCGTCGAAATGAAACTGCCGAGTTGCAGCCCGAAACGGATCTTCAGTCGTCCATTAATAGATCGCTGAGTGGCGACGTGTGTATACAGGTCGTGTGCTCCAGCAAAGTAGTCCAGGTTACTTCTGTGCTGATCAATCGATACTGTAATTGATGTATAAATAGCACTCCCGCTACAGAAACGAAGAAGATGAGATAAGTTGTCGCGAGATCGAAAGCTCCGAATTGGGACTTTTATCTCTTTCGTGAATTAGGACAAGTGATACTTTCACAATTCCTTAAATAACGATTCTGAGATATATATAAAGTACCACCCCGCTAACGTACATATAAACAATATTAAAAATATAATACAATAATTTCAGTCGAAATTGCAGTAAAATATACATACACGAAAAAAAGAAAGCAGTTGCCGTAATTAAAAACTGCGTGTGGTAACTAAACGCCCTAAATAGTAGATGTAAAATATGAACAATTAAAATATAAGTATCATAGTTAATGTCTTAGCTGTGATATCTATACTATAGCAGCAAATTATTTCGCCATAGTTTATAAATTTATAGTAACGACAGCAAATATATTTTAACAAACCCAGATTAGCCATGGTAGATAAATTTTTGCTTCCGTGATATTTAACAAACTATAACAAATCGAACTCATCAATCTTCGCGAATCGAAAAAGTGAAAAAAAAAAAAAAATAAAAAATTTTTGAAATATGAATTTATTAATAACACACACATTTGGAATTTATTATTAAAGTTCATGTATCGTGTCGCAAACGACAAAAAAAAATAAAAAAAGCTTACCTTTTCTTGAAGAGTTGCAGCTTCGGCACGTGCTCTCTCATTGTCCGCTTGCGTGACCCTCAGCTCGGCCTGGGCTCTCCTTAAATCTGCAGCTGTTTTGTCGGCCCGTTCCTGAACGCGCTCCATCTCCTGGGACGAGTTCAGTGTGCTTCTGCCGTAACCTTGCGATCGTTCCATATCATGCCGCAGCCTTTCGTTCTCCAGTTCCAACCTGGCCAGCCGCTGCTTCGCCGCCTCCCAGTCTGCGCCGCTACGTCCAACCTCGGAGGCGGCCTTGTCCAGCTCAGCCTTGCTCTTGCCAAGCTCGGATTGTGAGCTCTCGAGCTTCGCTTCTAACCGATCCTTTTCCGCTTGCGCTCGTTCCAAACGTGCGCCTAATTTCTCGACCTGACGATTTATACATGAAAAAAAATATATAAAAACGTTGTTTTGTTAATGTTTTACAGTTATATCGTAGTATTTTATTATTTAGTCTCTGTTTACAAAAAGATGTTTAACAAATTTATCATTTATTTTATTAATTATTTATTTTACTTTAATGGTGGATAAAGGATGAGAAATTAAAAAAAAATTCTTTTATTTAGCCTTGCTCACCTCAGATTCCAAAGTATGTATTTTCATTTTGTATTCGGCGATTTCTCTCTCGTGCAATTCCCTCTCCTCCTGCTTCTCCTGCTCTGCTCGATCCCTTTGCTCACGTAATTGTGCCATTTGCTTCTCTTTATCCCCAATCGCCTCCTCGAGACTACTAAGTGCACCTTCGCTGCTGCAATGGTGCGCTTGCATTGCCGTCAGCCTGGCCCTGGCCATGTCGACTTGATTATCTTTCTCCTTCAGCAGGTCCTCCAGATTCTCGATCTAAAGTCAACAGCAAACTCAACAATAATTGCAAAGGAGAGGAGCGTTAGCTCATTCATCAATCGATTGTTAGTACAGAAACAAGCGAGAATGTTAATTTTTTTAATTTAAAAACGCTATCGTTACTTTATTTCTAAAGTGAGACAATTAAAAAAATGTGATTATGGAGTTATATAAATGAATTAAATAAAGATTAATCTATTAACCATCAAAAGTAAAATGACTTAATTTCAGAATATCCGTTCGACAAACAACACTTGTATTGTTCTTAAGACTTTCAAAAAGATTGTAAGAGATTTCTTCTACAAGAGTGACATTTATTAAATTGTCGTTTTTTTTTTAAATAAAAAGAAGAGCCTCTTACAGAGAATCTTGATAGTTAAGACAGTTTTGGTGATCAAAGTTTACAGAAAAAATTGTTTTATTTTGTATTTAGTCATTTTAGCTAACCAAGAGATAGATATTAAATGTGATGACATTTTAAGTTGTCATTTTTATATTTGATCATGATACTTCTAAGTATATATTCTTTTTACTGATAGTATTTGTTTTCTGTTAAGTTGAAAAATAATTGTCATCCTTTTCTGAAAAACTTAATTTTTTAACTTGTCACTTTTAAAGTAAGGAACCGATGTTTTTCTCTGTTTTATATAGTTCTGGAAATCTTTAATTCATTCTTAATGCCGATATAATCATGATACTTAACTTTTGATGTTATGGAAAATCTTATTTTATGTTAAATATCGCGTTAAACAATATAAGTTATTGAATTATTACATATTTCATAAATAGATAAAGAGAAAGGAAGGCATGGAAAGATAAATTAGTACACATCAAGATTATGCTTCATTTAGGAAATTAAACTCGGAATGATCTTTACATGCGATCTTCACGCAAATCATAAATTCGGCGTATTCGCAGAGACATTGTATCGCTAATGCAATCCCTCGAGATATCAATATGGGATTGTAAATTATCGTAATCACCTACCTGCCAACGCACTCTCTCTCACTCTCTTTCTCTCTCTCTCTTTCGTTGGTCTTCTTTTATTCACATAATCATACTCAGACATCATCGTCACGACAGGCACGCTAATGTAAAAATAAATACGGTGCTTGTGTGAAAGCAAATAATAGATTTTATAAATAGCATAACATAACGTAATATAAATATGATGCCTAATAATGACAAAGGCGATAATTAAATTAAATATTTAAATTAGGTGTAGAATTTAACATAAATTATATATACAGAAACTAATTAGATATAATATTACATAAATTAGACAATAGCATACATAATAAAATAATTAACTTACAATTTGTTATTAAACAAATACAATAATGGGTATAAGGGGAGTAGGACATTTCATATTTGACAAATTAACACGTTTTCTTATACACGATGTAGACATAATCAACGCAAAACAACAAATCAATTGATAACATTAATTTCATATTTACATAGGAATATAAGCGCCATAACCCATTACGGAAATGATAGACGAAAATAATATAAATTTATACGAAACCCGCAGAATAAATTTACCTTCTTGTTTTTCTACAGATTTCATATCTCTATCAAATGATTGCAATAAAGAAAAGGTCCTACGCGTAAGAATCGAGTATCGTAATTCAATAACGACGAAAAATAAGACAGACATAATAACCCTGCGAACAACACTTTATCGCTCGTAGAGAACGTAACTTAAAGGAAAGGGAAATGCAAATTAACAAGAAACGAGATACGTGACAGAAAATACGCTACAGGTGTGAACACAGTACAACTGAACGTCTTCATCAACTGCGTCTTCGCAATTTACGTCCGCGACTACAGTTTATTGATTAGTAAACGCAAAAATATTGCAAGAAACGTCATATGCGTACAAACACACACACATACACACACACACACACACACACACACGTGCGCGCGCGCGCGCGCGCGCGCAATCCAGCTTTCAGGCATTACAATATCGCAGAGATGCGACGACACATTGAATGCATTCCATCACATCGGTCTTTTTTAGCCGCTGCGACAATTAATGCTCCATACTTTGTGTAAGTACACGATGTGCACCTCTAATCCTAAAGAATCTCGCATCAGTCCCGTCAAACGTGAGGAGGAAAGGGAAGACCTTTGTCGTGTTCACGAAGTTGATGAAGCGATAATCAAAGGCGAAGACACCATCAAAGCGCGATCAAAATCACCGTCGCGAACAAAGAGCCGACAGATAACTGTAGCGCATTTTTATCATCGTGTTTTATCGCAGGTGTTTCTTTTTTTATAGGAGAATCTTACGGAAATTGCAGATCCAGACGACTCGAACTGCACAATTATATGTAACGTATGACATTTTGCACATTTTTATTCTTATTGCACATCATATACGATTTTCCTTTTTACTTTATGCTACATTTATGCAAATTATCTCCAATTAAATGCAATCGCAAATACATTCCGCTTATCTAAATCGGCACTTCCGCGTCGTCAAGAACGACATTAAAAATTTATCCTCGATGGGACAATTTTCGTCTTGGGATTATGGCCGTCACACGTGCGATCGATACCGATACCGAGTTTTACGTTTCGCAGTATCAGCACGTACGTCATCCCTCGTGGGATCAGCTCCCAGAATTTTCTCAAAGAGCCGATTGCAATTCACGAGGCGATTGATTGAATTTCGTACTAGTACACATGCGCATTCCATTCTTCCTCTGTGTGGGAGTCTATGACGTGGGGTATATTATTCAACACTCCCACTGATTCAATCCTTTCGCTTCACATTATCGTTATACGTTAAAATTATAGACGTTACTCTATCATTAAAAAATAACAATGTGTTTATCAACTGTTTGTTATATTTACGTATCATTTAACTATCTGTGATTTTATTTTTTTATTCGCAATATGTAAGTGTCGTATTGGATTTATCAATGTATTGCCATGCTATATTTATGTGTCACTTATTCGCCAATCGCTTCTTCTAAAAAATTTAAACATTTTTTTAATTTTCAAAGCAAGAGGAGACATCTTATTATTTTATTTTTCGTTTTTAACGCTGACTTCTCTTCACATGCAGGAATCGGACAATAATAACGTGGCTATTATGCATGAGCACGTTGCAAGTATAAGATATTAGAGAGTTTTTGCAATAACGTGAATCCAGATACAGTGAACGCTAAAGTCACGTTATCCTTTTCTTGATTAGTTGTTAAGAAGAAGATAACCTGATCTTAGCGTTCACCGTATCTGGATAAACGGTATTGCAAAAACTCCCTAATGAAGAGAAAGATACACGACAATATGAAAAGCTTCTCTTCGCGTCCTGTAACACTTTCTCTTAAAATGACGAACGATTAATTTCACAATCTGTACTAGCGCAAATATTTTCTTAAGCGCTAACTTCCTCTGAGCGAGAAGACATTTTGCCGGACTTGTCCGCCTTTGCATTTGCATCTTTCCTCAGACGAAGGACTAAACATGATCCATGATAAGGATATTCATTTCACAGACGTTATCTGCTTCGAACCGGCCATCTCCTCGCATAATACTCACTCGTTCCGAGTTATGAATCATAATGAGATGATTCTTCTTCACATCGAAATATGGCTCTTGATGAATGCAAACGTTACGAGTCCGCGCAAAAGTGGTAAAAGTGTATAAAGTAGACGAAAGTAGTTGAGAATAGATAGTGGAACGAAAATGAACGAAGCCTTTTGACGGCAGAGTCTTGAGGAACGAAATTCCTCAATGAGGAAGCTGGAAGTTGAATAAATGAAAGAGAGACCTCACCTTGCGCTGCAGAACATTGATCTTCCGATAATCCTTGATTTCTGTCAGTTCGGTGTTCATGCGATTGCGCTCCTGTTGCGCCTGCATTGCCGCCTGCGTTTTCTTCTCGATCATCCGGTTCTTCTCCTCGAGTCGCTGTCGCATCTCCTCGACCTGCACATTTCGGAACGGAGCGATAAAAAGGGAATGTCGCTGAGGACCGGTCGACGAGAGAAACCTCCAGGCGAGTCCAAATCGTGAATATTTAGCGCGCAATACGTACTACGCACGTACACGCGACGGGACACGAAGCGACATTAGTGAGGAAGAAAGGAAGGAGAGGAGAGGAGAGGAGAGGAGAGAGAGAGAAGAGAAGCTCGACCCAGTTTTGCACGACGGCTTGGCCTTCCTCTCTTCGTCGATGGCCTCTTCCGGAAACACGTGATTTGCCGTAGTTTTAACTGAACTCTTAGTCGTCGGACCGATTTGCCAAACGGATGTGATCATCATCACGCGTCGTCGTTACTTAACTCATTTGAGAAGAACCCTTCTCGAACCCTTAAAAAAACTATGGGATGTACTCTCTTCTCCTTCTCTTTAAGTTTGCTTTGAGAAGTTAATTTGAAGAGGATCTTTTTTAATGTCTTTTTACGGTGTTTAGCAATTAATATTATGATGTATTAATTGGATAACAGGGTTGGAAAGTAACGCGTTATATTTCCGTTACTTTTTTTTATAACGATTTGGTAAAAGTAACGCTGTTACTTTTTTTCATTAGTAATGAAAAAGGAACGACGTTTAAAATGTTAGTAACGACTAGTTGACGACTAAATAAAATGTTAGTAACGAGTAACGAAGTTGACCCCGTTATTCTTGATCGTTACTTTTTTATAGATCATAGCCGTCACCGGAAAATAAGATTATAGCTAAATAAACAAAAAACTTTTAGCCTATTTTTGTTTCATTCACTATCCTCGCTTTAGCATAAGAACATTAAAAACTAAAATATCTATTATATAATAAAATACCATAGAAAGTGATTTATTATAAAATGCCATAGAATTAAACATACATGTAAAATATCAATAGAAGATAAAAATGTTTAAAGATAAATATCTTTCTAAATATCTTATATTTAATTTATATTCTGTCTTAGAAGCCGTAACATTTAAAAAAAAGTGTAATTATGCAGAAGACAGGCTTATTCATCGATTTTGATGAAATTAGGTTCATTCGATGCATTTTTGCACGAAATGAATGAATCTATCAGATTTCCTTACCTCAATAGTCATCAACTTTAACCATCTCTCAATATCTCAGTTCGCCGGACAGAGCGACACTTATGTATTTTTCTGCCAGATTCGTTTATTTCGTGCAAAAACGCGTCGATTCTAATTTCATCAAAATCGGTGAGTCTTTATATCCGTCTCCTACATAATTACAAATAAAAGTAACGAATAGTAACGATTTTTTATCATTACTTAAGTAACGGTAACGAAGGAAAACACGATAGTTTTAAAAAATAATTTTTTCAATTCTGGATGTATAAAAGATATACAATTTGGAATAGAAAACAGATTTTCAGTTTTTCCTCATTAAATATTTCTTAGTTTTCTTTTTACAAATTTTTAACTAATTCTAAATATAAAACAAAGATGAAAGGACAAAGATTAAAAATTTTTAATTGAAAATATAAAACAAAAATGGGAGATTTTTATACTTTTTATACTTTATATTATATTATATAAAAATTTGATTTTCTCTTTTCGTAATTTTAAGCATCCTACAACCAGAAGATTACATCTTGTAAGATGCTGGAACATTGAAAATCAAGAATTTGCTTTGCGAATTGAAAACAGGGATGAATTTGAATTGAAATAAAGTTTGCGTCAAGAATTTTTCTTGCATCAATGATCGTTTTAGAATTCATGGGATTTGCGTGAGTTGGGTCAACATTTCTGATCACATGATTCAAATTTGATTTCGCAGTTTTGTCCTAGTTTTACTCGATGTTAGATCTTCAAAGAAATTTCTTACTCTCCGAACTTGCTTTTATAGAATCTTAAAAATATTAAAGGAGCGTGTAAAGGCTGGGAAAATTAAACCAACGACTTCTTTATTTAAGATAATGATCCTTCATCCGAGTTTCCGGATAACAGCATTAGGATGGTTAAGAAACTTTGTTGCAACCACATGCTGGAGAACGTATTCGACAAATACCCGGATTTTAGAGATGCGGTTAGAAATTTGGTATCGATTTCGAGTCTCAGTTGTGTTCCAGTTTCGCCATCAGTGTGAATAACAAAACCTGCGGTAAACTTGTTTACCGAAAACTTATTTGGCAAATTTCTGTAAATTCGCATACATTTTCAAATTATCGTAATATTGAAATTTTTTTGTTCTTGAAAGCAACGAGAAGCGATTAACAAACTATTAGCAAATTTATTTCTAAATTCAAATTTCTAAGCATAATAAATAGAATTACATCAGCATAATTAAACAAACTATCTCTTACACTTAAGAGAAAATTATTTTCTTAACAACACTATAATTATTTATTAAATACGTCTTCAAATCTCTTTACAATTTTGCAACAAAATTTAACTACATAAAAAATAATATAAGAATTTGTGACAATACATTTTTTTAAATAAAACGAAAAGAAATCAAAGTTATACTTACATCAGCCTGCAGCATATTATAATGTTCTTCCTTGGCGCAGAGAGATTCCTTGAGTACGGCGATGTGTCTCTGGTAATCCTGATGTTGCTCCTCGAGCGTCTTCATCTTCGCCGACATTGCCAGCAGTTCTTGGTCTCGTCGCTGTACCTCCGTCCGGAGCTCGTCCAGCTGCGAAAAGATTCGTCGTCCAGGCGAGGATCAGTCCCTGAGCTCCGTCCGTGTTGGCGATGACGACGACGACAACAACAGACGACGTAACGACGATGGCGACGAGCGACAGAGGTATTGAAACCGTCTGTAGGCTCTTCACCATGACCGAGTACGACGACGATGATAACCTCGTCTGATAAGGACCAGGCAAGGTTGCGCGCACAAATGTCTTCTTTTAATGCAAAACCGAGGCTGTAAGCTCGTTTGGATATTTCAAACTTAGTTGATGACAGCGAGTTCTAATTTAGCAAAGGCGACAACTTTCAAGACAAAAAATATCGAAAATTGTCGAAACGAGTAATCATAATTTATGAATTTTTTTTATTGATTAAGATTTAAGTATTTCTGATTTATCAAGTCTTTTAACTCCGAGAGTTAATTAAAAAAAATTGTAAATCTAATTTATTCTTATCTCTAATTTATTCTTAAATTTAATGAAATAGTAGATAGTATTCTCCAATTTTTCGATGATATTACAATAACTTTAAAAAAGATCCTTTATGCACTTATATAACACACTTTTCGCGTCTGCATCGTGCCGCATATCTTAAATTATTCCTGATCCAAATTGCGCGCGAAATTGGTTTCCGAGCGAACAGCCTTGCGGGATATAACCACGGAGTTACTTAATTGCCGTTGGACTTTGACACGAGCCACTCTTGAGAAAGATCGAGATTACTTTAATTAAAATTACGTCGATGTAAATCGACTCTGCAAAAGATTTTCACATCAAGGATTAAAAATCAAGTCGCATTGTCGTCCTGTTCCATTCCATTGCTATTTTTAATTCATTTATGCGCCTTTCTTGATTTTTGAACGGATTAACGAAGAAGGCTGATATTAGAACCATTACGATCATGACCTAATTACAAAATCAAACAAGAAACTACGTGTGCGAGCCAGTTTCGGTCGAACCTAAATTTATAAGAACAATCCGATCTCTTGAACTTTGATCTCAAATCCACAAAATCTATTAATAAATTCTTAAACTTTTTACAGCACTGTTAATTGTCATGTTAATCGCAGTTAACTAACTTCCCTTTCTAGCTACATAGCTAAAACTATAATCTAAAGAGGGATGAAGTCTCGGGCTGAGTTAGTTAACCCACTGGGATTGATCATTGACCAAACTGACTGCCTCGATCATAAATATTTCTTAGCGTAATAATTATTAAGAGAATCTAATATAAAGGTAATAAAAAAATCAGGGAGGAAAAAAACATCGTCGTCGTACTCGGATAGGATTTGCACGAAGCATGCAGCGTAATTGAGGCCAGCGATACAAAATTACGAACAGTGTTTCTTGGGGGTGTAAAAGGTGCACATGTATATATATTTATTTATACATATGAATTATGCACATTCGTATATAAGTAAATATATATGCACACACGTGTACACACACAGCGAAGTGTGCTGGAGACATATGACACAAAGAGAGGTGTAATCTCACGCGCACGCTCGAGGAAGGGTTGAGATATTCGGGATATGTCACGTCGATATGTCTCTTTTATTTTCGTGTACGTACCTACGCTCGTGTCTACTCTGGATTGCCGGCAGGCCGCGTGAAAAGATTCGTCGCGACATATCGTCAGAATGCGAGATCTCGCGACGATCTTAAAGCAGAGTCGTGATAAACGCAACACAGCTACTATTGACTAATCACTACGTACGTAAACGCGATACGAGCGAGATCGCGATTCCACGAGGTCCTCCTTGGGAACTGCATAGTTTCGAAGTTTCGATTTCGAGCCAAAGAAAATGTTGGCTTAATTAGAGAACGATTTGTGCTTGAAGACTTAAATTCTTGTATTCTAATTCCCTTATTGCGAATGTGAGCTTTGCTTTCTAAAAAATGATTTTTTAGATTGTAATTTTTACACACGGAAAAGGAAAGTAGCTGCCGTAACTAAAAATTACGTGTGGTAGCTAAATGGTAAATGTAAAGTTGCCGTAGTTTATAAATTTATAATGGCAGCAAATATATTTTGACAAACCAAAATTAGCTATGGCAGAGAAATTTGTTTTCCGTGCAATAAATAATATATCACTGCAATGTATTATTATAATAGCTTTCCAATATACGCTCTAATTTTTTTTTAGCCAAATGTCATACATATAGTATACAGTTATAATAATTCCTTTATTTTGCATGAAGATGATTTCAAACGTAAGAAAGTATCCAAATTAATTACGAGAATCATCATTCGCGCGTAGTAAGGATAGAGGACCTCTGTCATGCGTCTCATACTACATCTAGTTCAAGACACTAGATGAGAAACGAGCGAATCGTTATCGTATTTCCTTTCTCAGATGCGAAGACATTTGAGAAATCTGCGTCTACACTTGAGAAAAGAAATTCAAGACGTAAGCTCGCTCTCATCCAGTGTCAGCTATCGATTTAATCGACAGCGGCTATCACGGCATCCACGACGGCGGCAATATCGCCCCGCATCAATCCTCAAAGTCATCGAAGTGACGGAGGGTGCGCACTCCCTCGCTCCGACGACGATGACGTTGATGATTATCTACGATGATTATCTACGGTGTCACTAGGTCGCACACACGCACGCACACGCACACAACGATTCTGTCGAATGATGTTAACGAAGGTGAACGAAAGTCCTTCGTTCTTTTCGCTCTTCAGTCTGGGAGAGTAACGGTCTTCCTCTAAGAAATTATTGTCTAGAGACCGGTGTGTAAGTTTTTTTCTTTTTACGTGAGATGCGTGAAATGATGATTGCGAGACAGTCGATCAACGATTCACGCCAGTAGGAAAACAGAGTTTGAGAAAGAGACAGAGACAGAAAGAGATATACAGAGTAACAAGTACAGTGGCTACGATATACATCGAAACACTCCGTTACGTAATATGGTAATCATGTAGATGGAAACGGAGAGGGAAGGATGGTGGTGGTTGTGGCGG